TAGTTCGACTTTACTGACATTTGCCACTTTTTCGTAATAGCTCCAGTCATATTGGCTGGAAAGGGTTGTGCATGCCAACTTATTATCATTTCAAACATGGAGAATACTCTATTCGTCTCTGCATATGCATGATCTATTCTTAACTCTCTTCTATGATTCTTTAGATGTCCAGATTAGAGAAAACCGCATTGACTACAATAAAATATTTCCTTGGTACGTAAATCACTTAATAGCCTACAGTAGATCGTCTCCTTGATGCAAAATGGGCATCTCCTCTTTTTTCGTCTAATTTAAATTGATCACGCTAGCTACTTCTCTACTTTGTATGCTTCATAATTTTACTCAAGAATATTCACAATCCACTTGAACCTTTTTTTTATTTTATACTTACTCATTCAGCTTCTTTCCTTGAAATACCAACTCCCCTTGTTACTTTTTTAGTCATTCACGCTCCCGGTCATTATGGTCTGCCTGATACGGCGGTCGAGGACATCCATCTCGTACTTGAGTACAAATCAGGCGATCGGTTTCGGAATTTCACGTCACCCAGATCTAATCGGTGAGAATCCCTTGTCTTCCAACCACTTTCCTCCTTATTCTGTTCTGTTTGAGATTTAGCGTTGAGCATGTTTAGCCTATTGGCACTTTAGGAGAATGTGTTGGCTTCTTTCCTAGTAGCTTCATTTCAAACAAGAGTCCGGTATCGCCTAGACAACTGTAGCCCAAAACTGCTCAAGCCTAGCTACTAAGCCGGTTAGTCTGTATCGGAATGGAAATTTTACGACTTATACCTCAAGATCTGTGTTGAGACCTATCAGAAAGCAGAAAACCTAAGCACTTATTGAAGTTGTATAAATATAAAAGGAGCTACAATGCTAGTTGGTTGTATGTGCATTCATGGTGACGGTGAATGAGCAGGAGGGTGGGTATGAGGAAAAGAGCGACTTGAAACAAGGCACACATCACAGCTTGCTGGAATGGTGTGGACAGGGAATGTGGTTCTGCGGAAGCCCAATGCGCAGAATTGGCTATGATATGAATTTGGCTTTGCGGCAAAGTCGTATTGCAAGTGTATTTCTGTAGATACAGCCTCAACAAAACGGACTTTGTGCCATCCTTCTTTGTCCGAGGCCCGATCGAGGTGTATCATCGCGGATGCAGAAGAGAAAAGCACACGTCAGTAGAGGCGCATGTTCAACCTGCAGGCGGGTAGCTGGCTCAGTTGACGGTAAGATGCCGTCGCAATGAATAGCTCCAGACTGTGAATGAGGCGAGCGTTGGGACTTTTCATGGGAGATGCTTTAGGCAGACCGCTTATGTAAAAGAGATACGAAGAAAAACTGGGTTTCGATGAATCTCCTGAGATAACATTGTTACGGGGACCTTCATTTGGTATGAAAGTGCATAAAGAAGAGATTCGTTGGTCGATCTCACCAGATGAGGACGGATGAAACTCGATTTGTACTGTAGCCGGTTGGCTTTTATATGATATTCGTGTTGACGCAGTCCACGGGACTTCCTTTCTCGTTTCGGGTGAAAACGTGCTCAGCTTTCGTCCATCATATGATGAGTAGGAATTACTTATGCTTGATTGATAGATTGAAATAGAGAGAAAGGGTGTTGAGCCGCCGTCAAAAAGAAGGAGACTCAATTTGTCTGCTCGGTGATGATTCTAACTTCACTCACACTCGTCCAACCAAAACAGGCATGTCAGATTACGCAACCCCGGTCTTGCTTTTCCTTGGAGGGTTTAACGTCAATGACCCTAGACCGAGAGGTTAGGACAAGTGGTTTCGTAACTTGACT